AGCGCTTCCCCGGGAAGGGGCGCAAGGGAACCCGTGCGCGCAGGCGAGGGAGTCGCGCCTCCGCTCACAGGCCGGCCCCACGGAGCGTGGGCTTCCAGACCCGCGGGCGGAGGGGCTCCCCGCCCCCGGCGCCGAGTGCCTCGCTCACGTGGCCGCGCGGAGCTAAGTCTCACTCCGGGCTTACAGGAGACGCACGGGCGGGGAACCAAGCCTCCGGTCCAAGAGGAACGAAAACGCCTGCGCAAGCCGAGGCCTTCGCCTGGGGCACTTTGGCGCATAAAAGGACGTCCTCGTCTCCCAAAACGAGAGGGCAGGCCCTGGCTGTTCGAAACGCATCTGGCAACAAGCCAGCTAACGACAGGAAGGCAGGGCCACCAGGGTAGCTTAGACGTAGACGAGCGGCCTTTTTGTAATTGGAAAACACTTTGTGAAGCAGTGCCCGCACTGACTAGGTCCCCGGAGCCAGCCCTGCCCGGAATGCAGGGTGGTGGGTACACTCAACTCAACCAGGAGTGGAAAATAACTACCGAGGCACTGGAGCACGGTGTTTACAAAAACAACTTAAACTGCAAAACGAGAACTTTTACCGTTATTTCAACACTTTCATGTGATGCAAGTCAGCTTAGAAGTCAGCTTAGAAAAAAACGATAAAAGAAACTTGTGATCCATAGATTGTAACCCGCCACATTCCCCACGTAGCATAGATCTTTTTCCGCAGAGATTTGTTTTAGAAAAAGATTGCTTAACCATCCTCTTAACGAATATAAAATATAAAGCATCAGCTAACAACTGACGGTGCCCTTTCTCTTAAAGCGCCTGAGTGTTATCACTCTCGTCTTTCCTTCCTAACAAGTTCTGTTTTAAAACTTCTACTCAGACTTGTTCTAAAAGTCTTTTTGCAGAGAACCCAAGAACTCAGGGAGCAACCAAACCCCCCTCACCTGGCATCAATAGCATGATTACCCAACTGCACATCAGAGATGCTTGGAGCCCGGAGACCCTCACTCCAAGCCAGGTGCTCCCATTCTCCCATGCGGTGCCCTTGGCTTCTCCAAAGCACTGTCACCCATGCTTTCTGGATACTGATCTTCAATCCTAGGGAAGTAGACTATACACAGAAAGTTTAGACGATAAATAAAGGGAATAAGTCAATGGTTTCTGGTCTCAAACCAACCTGCTGCAGTTGGTTCGTTGCAGTTGACTGATTCGCCTCTAGCCTCTTCAGGAGGGCAGCCCACTTGAGCAGTACCCAGGGCTTCTCTTCTGCCACCTTACAGGTGCTAAGAGTCACTGACTGTAGAAGCCATTTTATATGATAAGAGCCACCCTGTGTTAAACTCCAGCTGACCAATGAGCAGCCTACAATCAAAGTCAAACACCAACCAATCAGAACTGCTAGGTTTCAATTCTCATTTGCATGACAGGAAGTTTTATACAGGCCAGTTCCTGTATAAAAAGCTCCTCAAGCCCGGCTCGGTGGCTCAGCCTGTAATTCTGCGCCTTTGGGAGGCTGAGGTGAGTGGATTGCCTGAGCCCATGGGTTCGAAACCCACCTGGGCAGCGAGACCTCATCTCTTCAATAAATCAAAAAATCAGCCAGGCGTGGTAGGGCGTGCCTGTAACTCCAGCTACTCGGAAGGCTGAGGCAGAAGGATCGTCAGAGCCCAGCAGCTCGAGGCTGCGGTGGCCGGGAATGGCCACTGCACCCCAGTCTGGGCGACAGAGTGAGACTCCAACCCAAAAAAAAAATTAAATTAAATTTAAAAATAAAATAAATAAATAAATAAATAAAAAGCTCCTCAAACCACTGGCTCAGGGCAGACAGCTCTTCTATCACTGCCCTGCCCATTGCTCCCTTGCAGTGCACTCAATAAATCTGTCCTTCTCTACTCTGCTCTGACTTGGGTGTCTTTTTGCACTGCCCATAATTCTGGTCAACTACTCACTACCCACAACACTGACCTCTAGGGCTCTGCTCTCACAAGCTATGAGCCAGAATAAGCCCAAGTCTAACTGGGGCTATAGTGGAGAAACATCATTTCAAGAATAAAGTAACAGGAAACACTTGCTATTAGTAAAACTGAAAAAGACTTTTTGCACGTTCAAACTTTCATCAGGATTCTGAATCTTCTGCTAGGCCCATCTGTGCAGTTCCTCATAAAATACCTACATCTATGACAGTGGTCCTAAATAAAGTCTGCCTTACCATGCTTTAATGAGTATCCTTAAATAATTTTTTTTTTTTTTTTGAGTTGGAGTCTCACTCTGTCGCCCAGACTGGAGTGCAGTGGCCGCTCCCGGCCACCACAGCCTCGCCTGCTGGGCTCCGGCGATCCTTCTGCCTCAGCCTTCCGAGTAGCCGGAATTACAGGCGTGCACTACCACGCCCGGCTAATTTTTTGATTTATTGAAGAGATGAGGTCTCGCCTGCCCAGGCGGGTCTCGGACCCGCGGGCTCAGGCAATCCACTCACCTCAGCCTCCCAAAGGCGCGAGATTACAAGCTGAGCCACCAAGCCTGGCTCTTAAATAATTTTTTAACAGATCCACCCCCTGCATATTTCTCTCCTTAAAATCCTTTTCCATAGCCAGCTGAAAAATGAGGCATGAAGAACAGAAAACAAGCGAATCTGCAGAAATAGTTTTAAGGAAAAGCCCACCCCACCCCCAACAAAGATAACCTGAGCTGTGCAATTTGCATGGATTCAAGTCAACACCTGATGCATTCGGGGATTTAGCTTTTTAAACTGACACATAAAATTCTATTTATCATGTGAGGTAATGCATATGTCAATCAGCTAGAGTCAATCATTCCACAATGTATATATCCTTCATGTTGAACCATCATGTTGAACACCTGAAGCATTTGAATGCCATGCCAAGGGGACTGAACTTCACCTGAAGCCTTGGAGCAGAAGCCAGCAAATACTGGCAGATCCCTAAGGGAAGGAAATAGGGAGGGGTACTTGTGAGGCTCTCAGTAGTGCATCCTGGCCGGAGGAGAGGGTCATCACCTGGGTACGAGGCTTGGATTGACTTGATGGTTTTCTTCTAAGATACCCTAATCTAAGATAATGGGAGTCTTGCTTGGGTTCTTGGGCAGATGTCCAGCAGTTGTTCTGAAGGAAAGATAAGTTTCAACATGCTTTATTTGAGGATAAGAGCTCATCCTGGAGGTGGCAAGGGATGAAACAGGGAAGAACACCAGGTTCAAGTGCTCTTTGTGTGTCTGCAAAGCTTAAAGCCATTTCTGCAAGATGTGGAGACAACATTGAAAGGAGAGAACTGATAATAAGACAGAGAAACTTTGTGATGGAGAGAGGTGATAAATTTAGTCTAATGCTGCCTCCTTACATATGTTAAGTTTGAGCTAAAGGTTTCTCCCTACAGAGTGAACTGTAACCTAACTAGATGTATAGACATACTGACCTACTCTTGTGCCAATCACTAGGTTTCAGCTAATCCAAGGCAGCCAACTATTCAAACCAGGTTCAAATAAGGCCAACGCTGAGCTGTAACCAATCCTGCTGTTTTTGTACCTCACTCTGTTTTCTGTACATCACTTTCCTTTTTCTGTCCATAAATCATCTCCCACCATTGGCTGTGCTGGAGTCTCTCTGAGCCTGCTCTGGTTCAGGAAGCTGCCCTATTCGCAAATTGTTCTTTGCTCAATTAAACTCTATTAATTTGTCTATAGTTTTTCTTTTAACAGAGGAAAAGTTAAGTGAAGAACTCTCAATCAAGTGTACTCTAGGACTGCTTTTTATACATCCTATAGCGTTACTGGGTGAAATAAATAAGGTTGCTGTTTCAATGCAGAAGATGGGAAAAATATGCCACGCCAAGGGAACATGGAGAAGTCTTGGTTTTCTTCATTTGAGGGGAGGATTACCTGTATGGATTACTTATACTACTACTTACTCAAGCCCACAAATACCTCCCCTCAACTCCCAGCAGAACAGAGCCAAGGGTTAATACCAATTTCTTCATGCTTTTCCCAAAGTAGGTAGCTAGGAGTATCCCCATCCATCCCTGCACCCCCAAAACTGGGCTGGGACCCAGAGAAACTCTAAAATGACTCGTAGCAGCCGGGCTCGGTGGCTCAGCCTGTAATCCCACGCCTTTGGGAGGCTGAGGTGAGTGGATTGCCTGAGCCCGTGGGTTGCAGACCTGCCTGGGCAACTTGGTGAGACCTCATCTCCACAATAAATCAAAAATTAGCCAGGCATGGTAGCGCACACCTGTAGTTCCAGCTACTCGGAAGGCTGAGGCGGATGGACCGCTGGAGCCCAGCAGATCGAGGCTGTGGTGGCCGGGAGCGGCCACTGCACTCCAGTCTGGGCGACAGAGTGAGACTCCAACTCAAAAAAAAAAGAATACAAATAAAATGACTCATAGCAGCAGCCCTCCCATGCTAAGTGACAAGGTCACCCCTGCCAAGCATCAGAGCCCACTAATCCCATGGCGATTCCTCCCACAAACCTCTGCTGTGTACTACAAGGGGAGACGAGGAGTGGCTCTGCTGTTCCTCCTCGCCTAGTGGGAGGATCGGTCTCTTCAAGGTTCCCCCTAGCCAAGGAATGGGAGGCACAGTTGGGCTGGCCTGAATCCCACATGCCTGCCAGCAACTTGGCTAATTTCCTCTGACCTTCTTGCCATTCACCAGCAGGGGGTGCAAGCAGCTGGCATCATTCAACCTGAAGGACATCCAACTCGAGGAATGAGGGGAGCTACCAACCAGGTATAGGTTGAACATCCCTAATCCAAAAACCTGAAATCCAAAATGACACAAAGTTCAAAACTTTCTGAGCACAATCCTACTCCTGGGTATATACCCAAAGGAGCATAAATCTACCAAAAAGACACCTGCACTCATGTTTATTGCAGCACTATTCACAAGGGAAAAACTCCACACACTGTTTCATGTATACAGTCATTTAAAATATTTTATAGAGTTATCTACCTTCAGGCACGTGTATAAGGTACATATAAAACATGAATGAATTTCGTGTTTAGACTTGGGTTCCACCAAGATATCTCATTATGTATACGCATATATTCCAAAATCTGAAAAAATCCAAAATCCATAATACTCCTGGTCCCAAGCATTTCAAATAAGCGACAGTCAACCTGTACTAGAAGGCTGCAGCCACTGGGATGGAGAGGGGCAGCCAGCAGTAGAGGTCTCTGCCCCTGCACTTGTCCTGAGAAGCTTCTATCACAAAAGTTGCCAACTCTCAGGGAAGGAAAAGAATATTCTGCCCTTGACTTGAGCCCAGACAAATAAGAACCACAAAACCTGTTACCCAGCAGAACAGAGGCCAGAGCTGTGGGCCCACATCCCACTCAATGCAAAGTAACAAGCAAACCTGAGGAGACTTGGCCCCAAGGCTGGCAAGGTTCCTAAGAGCTGGGGTAGGCAGACTATCACCAGGGCAAAGTGATGCACACTCCCTAGAAAGACACCAGGCGACAGGCAACGGCCAAGTTCTCAAAAGCAAAGGCCGCAAAAAATTAAATCTCACAAATGTGACCTTAAGTTAAAAAGCTTCTGAAAAGCAAAATAAACCATCAACAGATCAAAAACAACCCACAGAATGGGAGAAAATATTTGCAAACTATGCATTCAACAAAGGCCTAACATTCAGAATCTATAAGTAACTCAAACAAATCGACAGGGAAAAAAAACAACCCCATTAAAAAGTAGGCAAAGGACACGAACAGATGCTTCTCAAAGGAAAAGATACAAGCAGCCAAAAACATGAAGTGCTCAATATTAGAGGAATGCAAATCAAAACCACAATGAGATACCATCTCATACCGGTCAGGATAGTTATTATTAAAAAGTCAAAAAACAACAGACGTTGGTGAGGCTGTGGAGAAAAGGGTGGTGGGAATGTAAGCTAGTTCAACACCTGGGGAAAGCAGATTGACAATTTCTCAAACTAGAATTACCATTTGACCTAGCAATCCCACTCCTGGGTATATACCAAAGGAACATAAATCTACCAAATACACCAGCACTTAAATGTTTATTGCAGCACTATTCACAATAGCAAAAATGTGGAACCAACCTACGTGTCCCATCAACAGTGAACTGGATGAAGAAAACGTGGTACATATATTCCATGGAATACTATGCAGCCAAAAAAAAGAACAAAATTGTGTCACTTGCAGCAGCATGCATGCAGCTGGAGGCTATATCACTGTAAGTGAATCTGCACAGAAACAGAAAACCGAATACTGTTTTCTCACTCATAAGCGAGAGGTAACAGTGGACACACATGAGAACAAGGATGGAAATAGTCACTGGGGACAACTAAAAGAAGGGGTGTAAGGGTTGAAACCCCCCCTCCCCCCACAGGTATCATGCTCGCCATCTGGGGGTCAGACTACTCAATAGAAGCCCAAACCTCACCACCATGCGATATACCCATGTAACAAAACTGCACATGTACCCTTTGAATCTGAAATAGAACAAATTTTTTTAAAAGGAAGACATCAGACGACCACAAGAGCATTCTCTTTTTTAAAGAAGAAAATGAGCAATTATATATGAAATACTGTCAATTTCTCCTGGGCCAAAACAGCAACCACCACAATGCTTCTTTCCTCTGGAACTTTGCTCCCACAGTCTGAAGCATGTTTTTAGCACAGCCCTTGACACTGACTGGTCTCTATGCCACCTAGTCCACATGGCCTTGGGATTGTATCTGTTCAGATTCACTGTGCTGGCAGGGAGCTGGAGGCGGAGTACACTTTTCCCACCCTGTATCTTCCCCACCTCCAGGATAATACTGCTTCTGCGGGTATCCTTCCAGGCAGGGCCATCAGACTTTATGGGCCAGAAGAGTGGTCAGCTTGATCTTGCCATCCATAGAGGCAGTGAGGCACGTCCCGCAGTCCATGGCAGTGCTCCAGTCCACAGTAACCACAGGGGCCCGGTGGCCACCCAGACTCAAGCAGCTCTCCAGAACCTTCTCATCACCACCCATCTGCAAGCGAACAGGAGAAAGTGAGAGGTATTAGCAGTCATCACTTACAAACACATCCACTTTATCCACTTTTGGTGGCCAAACCACCTCAAGCCTGGAGGATGCTACCTCAATCTAAGGACATGGGCAGGCACACATGCCCCTTTTCCAGAAAGATTGTCTAATGTTTTGAACCAGGAAATTGCTTCACTTTCCCAACTATAGTTAGTTCGTCTGAAGTGGAAAACAAGTCCCTGAGAAGCTTCTTAAAAAATGGAGTTTCCTCTGCTGCCTTGAATTTGCTGTGGGCTAGTGCCTCCTGCACCCACCCCGGTTGTTCTCTTAAAGCATCATTTCTCACTACTTGACTTTTGCTGGTATATCTGCTTATTTGTATAAGGTTCACTTTCCATGCCAGCGAACGCAGGCTGCCAGCTGCTTGTTCCTGCAGTGGAGCGAGCCTGCAGCACCCAATGCCGGGCACAGGCAGGCCCTCCGTTAGCATATAAACCACCAGCACCAGCTATCCAGCAATCCAGCATACACATGTGAAGTCAGATGCTAAGAGAGGAAAGCAAAAGCAAACTAAATTACTATCAGTACCGCTATCTCTAATACCCATGAGCAAGAAAAATGAGGTGTCCAGCCTTCATGGAGAAAACACTTCTAAAAATCATAAACTGCTTATGATTATAAAACTGGGATCTGAAGTTCAGTATATTCCTTAAGTTACTAGACCCCATTATTGCCATTTAAAAAATCATACAGAGAAATATCTTTCAGCCCATTAATTGGTTATAGAGCAAGTCTGACTGCAAATCATATAAACTGATCAGGGCAAATGACAAAGGCTACATGATAAAAATAAAATATACCTACACACATTCCAACACTTCTTAACTCTTGACCTTATTCCTTAATATTCTCATAGGTGTTATTTCCAAGAAAAGAGGCAGAATCTTGCCAAAGATGAGCAAAGAGGATGACGGATGTCTATGGTTCTGCCCCAATCTCACCTCTTCTACCTGAGCTGAGAAGCAGCCCCAATCTGACTGTAGCCTCCACGGCCCAGACCTCCAGGAGGAAGCTCCTGCCCAGCAGAACACCCCACTCAGTTACCTTGTAGATGATGCCCCCTGTGGCAGAACAGGTCAGCATGTAATTGCCCTCTGAGTCAAAAGCGAAGAGTCGGCCCCTGGGAACTTGAACCTGCTTGTAGCCGCTGTATCCGGACAGTACAAAGGGGCCTGTGGCATCCGAAGGGAGGCTGTATTCGGACACCTTCAAGCCGCTCTTGTGGATGTTCCACTGGATGAACTATAGTCAGAGAGCACAAGCAGAGTCCTCTCTTAGCAGGGGCAGGCCACACTCAGCTGGGAGTTGGAGCGAGGACGGCCCCACAGGAGGGAGACTGGCAAGGGGGACCTGCTACCCCAGCCAAAGTTCTGACATTTTAAAAAAGCCTTCAAGCACCAGGGGCAGAAAAAGGGCTTGGGGGCCACAGTCCACCCCTAAGCCCTATCCCTTACCAACATGATTTAGGCATTTTTTAAGTGAACAAAATCTAGAAAAAGTTAGCAACTTCATGTCAAAGTTCAACCCTTCTCTTTCCCTCTGGCCTGACTCCAGGAAAGGAAAAGGGACAGTAACTGGTTCTGCATGGATTCCTGTTCTCTCAAGCAGGGGTAATGCTTCAAGTAACCATTATTATTATCATTATTATCATCAGAGTTAGAAACCAACTAGATTTTTCTGTCTTGGAACAAGAACAAATTCCAAATGTATTTCCAGCGTCTCTCAGCAATACAATCAACTAACAGTAGGCGATGCAGTTAAAAGCTTGGCTTCATTACTAGAGTGTGTATAATCCCCTGGCCTGCTCACGGGAACAGCTGACTTGGCTGTGATCACCCCTTCACTGGGAATCCCACTCCCATGAATAGGAAGACAAGCTATAACTTAAAAATCCCTTCCCATACTATTCAAATGAAGAATTTATTTTGTAGTTACTGTTTTCAATGAATAAAAAGGTAGACAGTAACAAATCCAAAAGGTACAGGCAGGCATACGTATAAAGCAAGTCCTCCTCCCACCTCTGCTCATCCCCTAGCTGCTTCTGCAAGGCAGTCATCGTTTCCACTTCCTAACATACCTTTCCACAGAGGAAATCAACCAGGGCTTTAACTTTTACTTTTTTTTTTTTTCTGGCTTGCTTTTTACATCTCTGGACTCTGCTCAGGCCTGTACACCTCTGGGAAGCTGTCTCTAGCCCCTCAGCAAACTTTATGCATCCACAACTGTGGTCATAAGACCATGCTTTAACAAGCCCACCAAAGCATATCTTGGCCCCAAATATGGACTCCACAGGTCCACCTACAGTGAGATGATCAGTCATTTTTGCTGTAACAAGGAGGAAGGACATGGTACTCCCTTTCAAAAGAATAGCCAATTCCCACTGAACTCATTTAAGCTTCACAAAGATCCTGTAAGATAGATTACTATTTTATCCCTATTCTACAGGTGACAAAACTGAGGCAGAGAGAGGCCCAATGTCACAGAGCTAGTAAATGGTATGGCCAGGACCTAAACGCAGCTCACATGTTACCCCGGTGCTCTCTCATCTAAGTGCTGCGGAAGCCTACCTTCCCATCCTCGCCAATGCTGTACACAGTGTTCTCATCGTAGCTGAACTCCACGGAGTAGACCTCTCCACAGTGGGCCCTCCAGCTCATCGCGCATTCGTGCTGCTGCATGTCTGAGGCAAAGAGATGCCACCACTCAGATTCTGGTCTGGGCACTGCAGAAGGCATCTGCCTGTAGCAGGAGCCCCCACTTGCTCTCTGCTAGGGGTGACAGCTGTCCTAAAGGTCTAGGTCCTCCCGGACCCAGCAGGTATCACAGAGATGCCTTTGCCCAAGAGGTCAGGCTGCCTCTGAGTCTCAGAATTGGCTTCTTTCACTAGGTCAAAGTGAGATTTAGAAGTCCAGGGGCGCTGTTTCCCAGCCCAGATGCTGGAGATGTCTCCTGGGTGCAAGGCCTGGCCTGGTCTGGGATGGGCGCCTCTGAGTCAGCATCTGTTCTGATGCTTTTATGAGGAGGATGAAGCACCCGCAGCAAGCAGATGGGATGGGCCACTCTCCTGTGCCCCTGGATCCCACACAGGTGACAAGGACTCAGACTGAGCATCTCAAGACCCATGGACTGCTGAGCTCCACCCCTCCCCTGTCTACTGACAGTAGCCATGTACAAGTTGATTAACGGTAGGCATTTTGAAAACGGGGACCAAAGTTAAGCTCTAGGACATGCATCTGAAATTGGGGTCTTGCAACAGCCTCTAGTCCAATTGGCAAAAAATTCAACTCTCTTCCCTGTAACGTTTAAGGAGGGGACAAGGACTGCCATGAGCATCCTTGCATACCAAACAGCCGGATGACGCCATCGGCTGCCCCTGTGACCAACAGGTTCCCATTGTGATTGAAGGCTGTACAGTTGACAGCAATGGGTTCTGGATCCAGGGAGAACTGGAGCTATTAAAACAAAACAAACAGAAAATTATGAGCAGACCCTCACCCAGCCCGGGTGTGCTACTTATTCCCATGCAGATACACATATAGGTGACCCAGGCTGGGTTTTCCACCAGCTCCTCTCTTAAGTGACCTTCTCCTAGAAATGTGATCTGAGCATTTGCCAAAGTACTGTGCTTGTAACCTTCTGTGCTCTTTTGAGAGCAAGGTCTCTGTGCCTGTACACATTCCGGTCTCCATACAGAGGTAATAACCCAGGCTTGCTCAATTATAAAATAAGCAATCCATATCTTAGCATCTTACACACTGCTCAAAGTGCATTCCAAGTTTATTCTTGTGGAACAGTCTTATTGCTAGCAGGGAACAATGCTGTACCAACTGCCTTTCATGACAGGCAACCTGAATGAGGACTGACTGTGCAAAGGTCACATGGCTGCTCTGTTCCCTTTCCATCAAGTCCTGCAGCTCCCCACAAAAACACTTAAAAATATAGTAGCAAGGGCCAGGTGCAGTGGCTTATATCTATAATCCCAGCTCTTTGGAAGACTGAGGTGGAAAGATTGCTTGAGCCCAGAAGTTTGAGACCAGCCTGGGCAATATAGTGAGATCTCGTCTCTATTTAAAAGAAAGAAAGGAGAAAGAAAGAAATACAGTAGCAAACAAAACAACCTCATAGAACTTAAGGTCTACTAATCAGACAATTAATGAAGAATATCATTTCAAACAATATGGAATCCCCAGGAACCCTAAATAACTCTCCTGAAACCAAAATTGCAAGAAAGAGTATACTTAAAATGCACACACATACATGCACACACAGAGCATGGAGCTAGCAAACAAAGGAATCCTTTATTTTGGCCTCAGGGCCAAAAATGAGGGAAAAGCAGGAATCTAAAGGATCAGTGTATTAAAAAGCTGGCTTCCACCATGGGGGCATTAATCAAGTCCAGATGACCCAAGTGCCCATTCTGATAGCTGTGAAGAACTCAGGATCCTGGAGACAATAGTGTAAGACCTATCCAAGGTTAGGCAATAAGAAACCATCACAGAAAGCTGGGACTCCAAAAAGCTGTACCCTCGATTCACAACAGGTTAACAAGAAAACTTACCTCTCTGCAAATTTATAACCACAAACTGTTTCTGACATAGGTTTATAACCCAAATTCACAATCTTTATGTAGTCTGAGAAACATCAAGCAGAGAATTAAAAGTTGTCAGGTACTGGTAGTGCCCTCAGGCACCTGGCAAAAATGAATGCCAATCTTCTCCACAGAAATGAACCTTCAACCCAAGCCTCAAGATATTCTCAAGGACAATGGTCCAAGAAACAAGAATCTACAATCAAATTCGTAAGACACAAGAAAATAAGGTAAAAGGAGCAAATACAAACAGAAACAGCAGAGAGAAGGAAAAGATCCACAAAGACTTCAGATATTAAAATTATCAGACAGAACATACAATAAGTACAATCAATATGTTCAAAATAAAAGGAATTGCAAATATAGGTAAAAACGAGAGACTGTACACATGACAAAATAGGTGTGAAAAAATGAAGTTGACCGTCTAAAAATGACAAATACAATATGCTCATGGACTGACTATGCGAGCAGAGGGAAAAGGATGGGTCCAGGAAGATCCCTAGTTCTAAGTGGGATGGACTTGCCAAGGTGAGGGAAACGACGAGGGGAGGGACAGACATGGCAGGGGAGGAGGGCAAGAATTCGGGTGTGGCCCTGGCCCTGACAGACTTTCCCTTGGGAACGCAGACCATGTCTATGGGCAGACACAGGATGGCGCAAACTGAACACCTGGAACACAACCTTTCAGAAGGCAAGGAGTGTTCAGCAGCATCAGGAAACAATGTGTTCAACATAAAGCCCACACCAATTTTGAGCACCGATCCTAGTAATTATAATAAGAAATATCTTAATAAACAGGTGAGTTTAACATCATTAAATCTTTCTAGGGTTTAGGCTGGCAGCTGCAGCATCTCATTGCTTTTGGGGGAGCAGGTTCTCAGCTCTGAGGGGGTAGCCACGTGTCTGAAAGCAAGCTCACAGGCTGTCTGGTCACTGTCACTTATGAATATGAACAATTCCTCACTACTGCTGGCTGCTGCTGAATTCTCACAGAATTCTAAGTCAGCCGGGCTCGGTGGCTCAGCCTGTAATCCCGCGCCTTTGGGAGGCTGAGGTGACTGGATTGCCTGAGCCTGCAGGTTCGAGACCCGCCTGGGCAGCAAGACCTCATCTCTACAATAAATCAAAAAAAAAATCAGCCAGGTGTACATGCACGCCTGTAGTTCCAGCTACTTGGAAGGCTGAGGCAGAAGGATCGCCGGAGCCCAGCAGGTTGAGGCTGCAGTGCCACTGCACTCCAGTCTGGGCAACAGAGTGAGACTCCAACTCAAAAAAAAAGAATTCTAAGTCAACAGGAAGTCAGAAGGAGGTACAAGTCCTCACCTTAAAAAAAAAATAAAAAAAAAAAAAAACCAGCCTGGCTCGGTGGCTCAGCCTGTAATCCCGCACTTTGGAAGGCTAAGGTGAGTGGATTGCCAGAGCCCGTGGGTTCGAGACCCACCTGGGCAACTTGGCGAGACCTCATCTCTACAATAAATCAAAAATTAGCCGGGCATGGTAGCGCGCACCTGTAGTTACAGCTACTTGGAAGGCTGAGGCGGAAGGATCGCCAGTGCCCAGCAGGTCGAGGCTGCGGTGGCTGGGAGCGGCCACTGCACTCCAGTTGGGGCGACCGAATGAGACTCCGACTCAAAAACCCCCACAAGGGCCCTCGAGTAGGTGCTGGGTGACTTCTAAGTTTGTGGCACAATTCTGACCAACTTCAGTTGCCAACAACCTGCCCAACTGGAGTACACTACTTTTCAACACTTAAAGTCTAAAAAAAAATCTGAGAAGATCAAAGCAAAAACAGGGAAGAGACTCACTGGAATCACACGGGAGGCAGACAGTGCACCCTGCCCCAGTCAAACCCACAGAACAAGTCTATACCTGCTGTTTCATAGATTTTGTGTCCCACAGCAGCAGCTTGCCGGGAACTTGGCTTGCGCCCTTGCTGCTGATGTCTAGTACTGAGGAGTCCACCTGGGCAGTGAGGCTTGGAGCTGCCGCAGAACAGACGAAAGAGGCCCCATTGGGGCTACACGCAAGAGACAGGATCCTGCAACACACGGGGGCGGGAGTCAAACCCTCCAATGCCTACATAGGCTGAGGCTAGACCTACTACGGGAGATGTGGCTCAAGGCTTGAGAAACAACCAGCCCTGAGAGTACATGTGGCAACCTGTGGCCTGGGGACTGGGGAGGTAGCTCACCTGGGCATGTCATCATTGATGTTAATTTCACAGAGATTCTTCTTGGCTTCTGTGTCATAAAGACGTACTGTCCCCACACCACTGCCCAGCAAGAGCTAGAATGAGAACGAGAGGTGGGAAAGACAGTTAGGAGTCAGGCCCTGTCAGAGGCGAGGCCTCTCCTCAACTCAACCAGGAAGTTCAGGGGAAATCTGGCTACAACAGACCTCACTAAAAAATTAAATAAAGACATAAGAGCTGAGGCAAAACCACAAAAGGCTTTGTGGAATGGGAAAGCTGAAGCACCTCAGATACACCCAGAAATGTTCTAGTTGGATACATCAGGGGTCCCTAAGCCCCAGGCCACGGACCTGTATCAGTCCACAGCCTGTTAGGAACTGGGTCACACAGCAGGAGGTGAGTGTTGGACAAGTGAGCAAAGCTTCATCTGTATTTACAGTTGCTCACCATTGCTCACATTACCACCTGAGCTCTGCCTTCTGTCAGATCAGTGGTGGCATTAGATTCTCATGGGAGAGTGAACCCTACTGTGAAATGCATGTGCAAGGGATCTGGGTTGTGTGCCTGATGATCTGAGGTGGAGCTGAGGTGGTGATGCTAGCACTGGGGAGAAGCTGCAAATATAGATTATGATTAGCAGTGAGGTTTGATTGCAGAGAGACCATAATAAATCAATTGCTTGCAGATTCATATCAAAACCCTATCAGTGAGTAGCAACTGAGCTGATGTACTTCAATTGCACAGCTGAATCTGGGGCAGGCTTTAAGTCAGAATCTGATATTTTATTTTAGTCCACATGTGGCCCACTCATTGTTTTATTTACCACTTTCGTCTATGCCTCTTTTTTATTATGGTAAGTTGTATAATTATTTCATATATTACAATGTAATAATAACAGAAATAAAGTACACAATAAATGTTATGTGATTGAATAATCCCCAAATCATCCCCCTCCACTGGTCCGTGGAAAAACTGCCTTCCATGAAACTGGTCCCTGATGCCAAAAAGATTAGGGACCACTGAGTTAAATGAGCCTCTCTGATCCCCCATTCTCCAGGTGTAACACCTTCCCACCCTTCCCTCTGGCTCCTGATCTACCCACTGCCCCTCCCTGCACACTGGCCCTGGCTAGTGATGGGTCAAGGTGACTGATGCATCTGCCTTGCAGGAGACAGCTCTGGTGCTGGGCCTGGAAAGGCCTCCAGAAGAAAACAAAAAAGGCTATCCTTCAGGAACTTGTGATATGTTTGGTGAAAAGATAATGAATTCTGCCATAAGATAATTCAAAGATAGTGAATACTGCCATAAGAAAACGCCAGAAGCAGCCCAGGTCTGAGAATAATCCCAGGATTATTAGGCCAATTATGACCTCAGCAGTCACTTAGCAAACTGACCCTGGTACAGAGAAAGTCTTGAGACCTAGTCCCATGAGGATAATTCATGCAGCTGCCTTGGGCTACATAGTATGATCTCCAAAAAAATGAAGTGAAAAAATAAATAATAAATCATTTTACCTGAACTATAAATCCTATTTCAAATATTAAAGTCCAGAAGGAAAAAGAACACCATCCTTCACTAGAGAAAGCCACTCCCCACAGGGCCTAGAATGGGAAGGTGCCTACTGAAACTGTAGTTAGAAACATCAACACATGAGGGACAGCTATCAGGCAGACCACCCCAGACAGGAAGAAGTCTTGTTCTCCAGGTCCCCCTGTAACCTCACTGCCTGTGGGCCCAGTCCTGGATGTGTGGTCCCAAGTCCCCAGTTACAAGAGAAGGGAGGGGACTTGGTTTGGCTCCTTGGCCTAGCCCCAGGAAAGTCCCACTGAATTCCTCCATTTAGACAGTAGAGCGTGCTCACAGACCCACATCACTCACCAGTCTGTCCCGCTTGGTGGCCCATTCCAAAGACAGCAGAGGTGACTTGGAAATGGAGGATGCTTTGGTCTGCATGATGGGGTTGAAGGACCACACTTTGATGACACCATCTACATCTAAGCTGGCAACCCTCCTCCCAGAGCAATCCACCCTGAGATGAAAGAAAAGGCAGCACTGAGCATCTTGGCCTCGGACCCTTATCCTCCTCAGCTAATACCAAGGTGATCCCTTTTCCAGCTCCCTGGGTGCATTAAAAAATAATCCAGCCTACACTCAAAGGAAGGATATAAACTATTTCCAGATATATTCATTCATTCAACTGTCTAAGAAATACTTGCTAAGCACCGATCATGTGCTGAGCTCTATAGACAAAGAATCGTGGGCAAGATCTGTAGGGCCCTGCCCTTGGGACACTTACAGACTATGGATATTCAGAACCTCCAGTGTTACCCTCCAGAACAGCCCAAGCTAGAGAACCTGTCAGGGCTGTCAAACAAGATGCCCACCTACCCCCTGAAAACTGCACTCCATGAGGGTTTGTTCTTAAAAGGCTATACTTTTGACATGCTTAAGCAAAAACTTATAAGTGGTAAATATTTATCTAAAAGTACCAAATAAAGCAAACTAAAATTGAGTTTTGGGAGTTAAAATAAAGGGTAACTTATTCCTAAAACTCAGAGAAACACAATTAGAAAGGGCGATTGAGGCTCACCAGTTCACCAGCAGGATCCTCATGACTCTTCGGGGGACTGAGGTCCTGAGGGACCATTTCCCACTGGCCTCCTTCCCCCATTCTCTCCATCTCCTGACAGCCACACCTTCTCATGCACCCATGCTGCCTGGAAATCTGGGCTTCCCAGTGTTTCCCCAGGCTGGCCCTTGGTCCTGGCCCAACCCACCTGCAGTGCATGATGGACGAATGGTGTTCCCCATACTCTTCCTGGCCCAGCACAATAAAGGGCTGCTCGGGGCGAGCTCCTCCACCCTCAAGTCCTGCGGTGGAAGCTCGGGTCAGAGGCTCCACTTGTTCTGTGTGGAGCTCTGGGCAGGGCTCTGCCTCTGGGCCACTGGCTTCCAGCTTCTTCTCAGCATACTGTCACAGGCAAGCAAGGACAAGTCAGATAGGAAGTGGTCCAGCACACCTGGGTACACACCACGGGGTGTCTAGACTGCAACACTTGGGGGAGCTCTCAGTGGTCACAGATTCCACAGGAGATGTATGAGCATGCAGCTCACCCTGAGAGAGTAGGGTGCCCCTCCCCCACAGTCCCCTTCTAGAGACTTTGCTCCACATGGGCCCTGCTGAAGGAGCGTGGTTATGGGCCTCCCTCCCTGCCACAGCTGGCAGACTCAGGACACACATTGCCTTGACAATAGGCCAGGCTGCGGATAAAGACTGCCATCTGGCCAAGGCGAGAGGACAGGCTGAGCCCAGGAATTCAAGACTAGCCTGGACAACATGGCAAAACCTCATCTCTACAATAAAATAAAAAATTAGTCAGGCAACATGGTGCGTACCTGTAGTACCAGCTACTTGGAAGGCTGAGGCAGAAGGTCACATGAGCCCAGCAGTCAAGGCTGCGTTAGTCATGACTGTGCCACTACACTCCAGCCTGGGTGACAGAGTGAGACTCAGACTCAAAAAATGCCATCAAGTGAGTGCCCACTGCATGCTAGACACTACACTGAGTGTTTTACAGATGTCTCTCATTTAATCCTCCCCAAACCACGTGAGATAGTGTTATTTACGCCATTTTACACCTGTGGAAACTGAGACTGAAAGGAGAGGCTAAATTCCTTATCCAAGGTTATACTGCTGGCAAGGGTGGGAACGTGGGTGTGAAGCCCTGGAGGCCAGAGGTAAGTCTAGCCCTGCCTAGTGCACCAGGCCCGCCAGCACCTCCTCTTCGAAGTGGACACCAAAGACAGAAATGGAGGCAATTGGCCAGGCAGAAAAACAGAGACCCAAAGACAGCTAGAGGTCCAAGACTGCCGCATCTCCACCTCCCTGTGGCAGCAGGTGGCAGCTACCTGGGTTACCTTGTGCTCACCTAGATGTAACCCAGGCCTGAGGCAATAGGCATCAGTCATCAAAGTTACCATGTGCTCATCAGACATAACCCAGGTCCCATCAGCCAGGGCACATTCCACCAGCCTGGGGTCCGATGCTCCTCAAAGTGCTCCCCCAGGATAGCAGAAGGAGTTCAACAGCAAAACAGTGACAGAGGAACCTCAATCTTACATGGCTGTGGTTAGACCCCAGGTGCATCTCGAATCCTATAGAGCAGAACAATTTGAGATCTGAGCCTTGAGGGTCTATTGTCACCATACTGGAACCACTACTGGGCTGTTAACTGAGGGGGAAATGCCTTTAAAATAGGCTAGTAGCCTCTATCAGGATATAAATGTTCAAGAAGGTGACTTGGGCTCTTAATTGAGAAAAAAATGCCTTTAAAGTAGACTAGTAGCCCCAAATAAGAGATAAATGTTGGGCAAGAGAACCAATAACTCCCTTGTACTTTTGCCTTTAGTTTGGAGTATCTGACAGTTTAATACTGTAAGGAAGAGCAGACTCTGGCCCACACTCCCTAGCGAGAGGAGTTCCGGAGCCCAGGGATCAACCTCCCACTGAGTGGGCATATGGCCCTTGGTGCAGCAATGCCAGCAGCTGGGCTTCAAGTTGTGCAAGAGAAAGGGATCCTGTGGCCAAGCAAGTCTAAAAGACTCTGGTTTCACCAAGGGAATCAGGTCTCAGGGAGCCCATGATAGGCTGACAGGCACAGTTAGCCTAAGGGAAGGACTAGTGTGCAAAGGCTGCCAAGCCAGATCAGTCACAGAATTCATCTTCTGGGAGCACCCCCAGAGGCTTGCATTTTCTGGCCCCTACTTAGAAAAATGCCACACGACGGGCAAAAAGGACCACAGAAGAGCCAGGCAAAATACAAACTCAAACAACTGAAATGCAAGCAGTTAAAACAAATTAGGCAAAAGCATGCTCTGTACAGGAGTAAAACTCAAAAGAGAGGTAAGAGGAGCCCTCCACACTGCTCCTCTGTAGCCCCATGATTGCATGCCCATACCTGGGATGGCATACCTAGACAGAAGGCATACCAGTCTTCCAAGTAGCTGGGACTACAGTGCACGTCACATTGCCCAGCTAATTTTTAAATTTTATTGTAGAGATGAAGCCTTGCCATATTGTCCAGGCTGTCTCGAACTCCTGGGCTCAGCTTGTCCTCTCGCCTTGGCCAGATGGCAATTTTTATCCATAGCCTGGCCTATTGTCAAGGCAGTGTGTCCTGAGTCCAGGCACCCCCATACCTGGGAAGTGGTGGTAGAGAAAAGTTCCTTCCTCTCCTTGCCATGGTCCTGCAGGCGTCGCTGCCGGTGCTGTGACCAGCCAGACTCCCCAGTGGCCAGCCCGCTGAGGAGGCTCTTCCCATCCTTGGTCCCAGACATTAGGTCCTTTCCCTTGGTGGCCTAGAGGACAAGAAGCTGGCTGTGAAAAATCCCCTCCTTTCTGTCCAGGCTGTGACAACTGAGTAAGGTGGGGAACAAGAGCCAAGGAGTGGCTTCTCTACCCTATAGTTCTCGGGTAAAGTCCTTACCTGACCAGGCTGAGCAGTTAGTTAAAATGGTACTGGCTTGGCCAGGTAGGCAAGGTCATAAGCAGCCTGACATTCCTCCTTTTCATTCTCTACTCGTTAAGAGCAGGACAGGTCACCTGTGATTCTCATCCTGGAATATTTCTCACCTGGAGAGAGAATCTCCTTGATCTAATCTGAACAATTAACTGTAGATAAGGAGGAGCCAGCAATTACTAAGCAACGACTAAAGCAGGCCAGGTCCTACACCAGGTGTTATCAGCATTTATAAACCATGATATGCTTGGGCAATCTAAAAAGCATTTATGCAACAAGCAATCACCTCTCTGGAAGGGAAAAAGGAACACAATTCCCTCTCTTGTTGTGGGCCAAGTGCAAAACTAAACCAGCTAATGTTAACAAATACAGAGGTATTTGTTACTAGACAACCAGAAATTCTTTACAAAAATTGTTGGAAACCCAAGACCTTTGAGTAAGATAAATTTGACAGGAAAGAAACTGGTATTATCTGGCTCCTTTTTATAAGAGTGATAAGGTCAGCCATAGTTATAGCAATGAACTCAGTAATATAGAATGAACTCAGTAATCTCCACCTCATTCCCAGAGAAAGAACTCTGTTCTTCATCTAGAGCCTCTTTAAAAGAAGCTGCCACCTCCTTGCCTTTCCAGATTGTTGGGCAGGGCTCTCCTTTCCCAGTCTTATTCCCACAAATTACAATGGTCAACACCCCTCCTTTCTGTTTTACTCTTAGAAAAGGAATATGAATGCAAACAACCACTCAGAGTTGAGACCAAACTCCTTAAAAAAAATCATTTGTACACGGGACGTAAGCTAAGAGAATAAACTCAACTAGAATCTAGTTGTTGTTTTCCAGTTCTCTAACGTGTTATTTTTTTACATTAACAGTAAACAATTGAACATGATTAAGAGTCCCTGAAATCCTGCAGCCATTTGAAAAGTTAAGAAAGAAAATTTTAAAGAACTTTTTCCTGGAACCTACATATGGCTAAGCTGTAGGATATCTGCTATTTTCGGTTTCTTGCCTGAGGTGACCTCAAGCTACATCAACTAAAGCTTGTAGCAGATGTTTCTTCTAGAGAAAATACTTGCTTCTCTGCATTCTGGTTTATCTTAAGCGAAGTAGGATTCTTAGTCAAGACAAAGTAAATAAGAAGAAAATCAACCACGATAACAATAATGGTGCGCGTGTGCACACATGCACACATGCACGCGCTCACACACACACACAACTGAATGTTCACCATATGCAAGGCACTATGCTAAAAACTTTATAGACAATAACTTAAAGTTGAAGACATTATTTTCACATAAGGAAACTGAGTCTTAGGGAGGTTAAATTACTTCTGCACAGCTAGGACCTGACAGAGCAGGAATTCACACCCAGATGTGATAGCAAAACCCATGCTCTGAACAACCTTAATAAAGTAATACCATGATAGGGGTACATGGAAGAAAGTGACACCAAATAGAGAGATAAGAAGAAATATCATAATCCTGGAGATAAATAACATAACCAAAACAAAGCTCTTCTCCCAGTGCTTCTGACATTCTTGAGAAATGGCCCATAATCCAAGGAACACTGAACAGGTTTCACAGTACTAGAAAGTGGAAGACTTATTTTACCGGCCCAAAAGCAGTAAGTGGTCCAGAATATGGATACCAGAGGTACTGAGGTAACCATGGCATCCCTCACAACCCGGGATGTGACCGTGATGCCAACTCTCATGACACAAATCCACTGATTCCTCCCCACATGGAATGACCCAAAGGAATTCCAAAACATGTCTCCAAAAGCTCTAACGTATGGATAGAAAAGGCGAAAGAACTGGCAACAGAGGTCATGTTTTCTGAATCCAAAAAGTGGCTACAAGAACTTCACAGCTAGCTATGTACCTATGTACTGAGGAGCAGGAAGATGGGTTTCCTGGGTTGATAGCAGTTTTCCAGAATAGTGGGCTCCTGAAAAGTGAGAATGTCTCATAAGCTTGGAACAGTTGTTATGTAGGTTTGACAGATTTATCAACCTGAGCAAGAGATCTTTAAGTTGGATTTTTAAGAAGAAAAGGGGGGGGGGAACCCATATAATATTGCAAACTGATTATGTGAATGATATGTATGAGAGCAAAAGAAATGACAGAGAGGAGGTCTCAGGAGGAGCTAAGCCTGGGATACTCAACAGAGTAACTTGCTAATATTTAGTCTCAGGAGCATATACATTCAATGTACAGAGAACAGGCAGTGGTTCTCAAGCCTTAAAGCATATCAGAATCACCTGATAGCCTATAGTTGTTGACTGCTTTGCAGACCTTTATGCAAACCTAGATAAAATGAAAAGTCTCCGAGGTAAACACAATAGAGATAGAAAAGTTAAACAGATCATTTTTTACAGGAGGAAGAAAGGGGGAGAAAGCTATTCCAAAAAACTATCCCACCAAGGAGTACCAGGCCCTGATGATTTCACATGAGAATTCTTTCACACCTATAAAGACCATATGTTCCCAATGTTATAATAATTTCAGAGTATAGAAATGAAGAAAAACTTTCAAATTATCTTTTGTGAAGTATGACATTTACCTAAACCTGATAAAGACAGCACAAAGAGCCGGGCTCGGTAGCTCAGCCTGTAATCCCGCGCCTTTGGGAGGCTGAGGTGAGTGGATTGCCTGAGCCCGCGGGTTCAAGACCC